TTAAAAAAGGTTTGGCACTTCTTATTCTGTTTGTCATAGCAGCAATAGGTCATCTGCATAAAAAAAGACACCTCACTGTCTTTGCCTCTTAGTCAAGTCCTGGGTCTGCAGAGTGTTGGAGAGAGTATATGTTGAAAAGTGTATATGTTCTAGCTAACCCCATGACGCTGTTTCAAAAATTCTGTTCTTTCTTTGCCCAATTTTAACAGCAAACATATTTTCTGAGTATTTTCATTTAACAAAGTCATTGTAGCCATTTTAAGTTTACTGCTACTGTATTCTCCTACTGTGTTTCAGCGTTTCTTTTCTGATACCATTGACACCACAGGCCTTTTCATTTTTAAAATCAACCCATATTTCTTGGAGCTCTTCCATTTTGAATGGACTTTCCAAAGCATTTTGGTTATCCTTTATTGCATTTTCTAATGATTTCAATCATTTGCGGACATCTGATATGTGTTTAAATCATATAAATTAAACCACTTACCCTCTATTATTGCTGCTGTTAATAGTATTCTTTTGTATCCATTGCTATAATTATTGTGAGTCATATCTGTATTACAAATGAAGCTCTAACTAAAGTTCAGTCAAGAGGACAATACTTTTCATGCTCAGGCTCTAAGTTCTTTCTCACCCTGCCATTCATTCCTTGCACCATGCTCACTCACTGTCTCTAGGTGTCATTGTCAGGGTAAGTCAATTGAGTCATCAGCTGATTCATAATCAACCAACAGCACAGCGCCACACCTTCTCTGTCAGCCTACCATCTTACTGCTACTCATTTTAAATATGGTTCTTTCTCTACTGTAGTTCGTTCTTGCTGCCATCATGTGCGTGTTTATGCTGCTCTCATGTCATTCAATGACAAAGTTTCTCTTTATCCTTTTAATTTCTCATTGCAATTGCAAGCTGTCGGCTGATTCCTCAGCCAGAGGAAAAACGCATGTGTCGGCATTGTTTTGTTTGTTAGAAGCTCATTTGCAATTGTCATCCTATGCTTAGCCAAATTTAAGCCACATTTCAAGCCACACTTTTAACATTCTGGCTGCTTCACTTTATGGTCAATCAAGGCAATATGTTAGTCATCAAACTCAGCTTTAAGTCTATTAGAGTTGGAGAGAGACCAAATTGAAGGCTGCTAGGCCTCTACTGCTGCTACAAAAACCACTGCGACTTTCAAGACCAAACCAGTCTGGGCTGTGACGGTAGGTTTTATCCTTTAAAGCTCTTCATGCATCAATAATACCACTAAACTCTTTTTTTCTCAAACTTTTTGAATAAAAACACACCCACAAATGATGTCAGGATTGAAGCTGCACATATATGCCGTCTAGGGGTACAAAGTATTAACAAGATTTGGCAGTATATTTGGAGCTATGGTCTGTTTTATTCAGCAATGTTGCTTGTCACAATTTTGCAACTTTGGTGCTTAGAGAGTTAACAGCAATGGTAAGCAATCGCATATAACTGGTGGTCAGTGGTGTTGTGTTTCTTTTCTTAGCTGCACTCCCTAATCATTAATTTTTGGGTTACTGTTGGCCTAAACTACATTCTATCATGCAAGTAATTCCTGTACACCAGCCGTGCTGGCAAAACTCAAATATGTTAACTCAATTTCAATCAATCAATCACTTTTATTTATAAAGCCCAATATCAAAAATCACAATTTGCCTCACAAAGCTTTACAGCATATGACATCCCTCTGTCCTTAGGACCCTTGCAGCAGATAAGGAAAAACTCCCCATGGGGAAAAAAAATGGTAGAAACCTCAGGAGGAGCAACTGAGGAGGGATCCCTCTTCCAGGATAGAGAAACGTGGAATAGATGTCGTACAGAACAGATCAGCATAATACATTAACGGTAATCTGTATGACACAATGAGACAGAAGGGGAGACAGAGAGAGAGAGAGACAGAGGGAGATGCAGGACAAACAGTAATGACAGTAGCTTACAACAACATTAATGAAAGTAATAATATTATAGTTATAATTCTGGCTATTTTGGTACAATATGTTGAAAGTATATATTAATATATGATAGTATACACATGTGACAATAATAATGTGTATAATGACAGTAGAGGTATGACTAATGATAACAGCAGCAGCAGGAGGCATCTGGCAGGACCACGGCAGCAGCAAACCCCACATGTCACACTATCCAGGCACCACTGCTGACCATTAGCCTTTGCTGGCTAAAGCATATTCATAGTTATTATTATTATTATTACATAGTTATTTATATATATTCATTATCAGTAGCTGACTAAAGCCTTTCTTTGCAAGCAGGGCATTGGCTGGCTAGAGCCTTTTAATTGAAAAAGCTGGTGTCTGCATAGTAATCATTCTTAGTTCTGTCCTCCTAAATTCTTGTGTAAATATTTATTTAAAAAAAAAAACAAAACTCTGTAACCCCGGTGCACCCCTCTTTGTGACCTCAGGCAATAGTCCCATGTCCAAATCTTGGTTTAGCTTTCACTGAGAATTGGGGGTGGCAATCTTTGCAGCCATGCAAGGTGGCTTACCTGCATCAACTGGGTTGTTGGTCATCATCTTCATATGCCTCCTAAGTGCGTCCTGATGGTGCTGCAATCATTGAAGCTCAACGATCTCTAAGCCATATCAGCCTATGGTAAGCAATTGCAAATAACTGTTGGCAGGTGGTCATGGTTCATTCAATTTATCATATAGCTGTACCCACTGAGTAATTCTCAAGTCAGTGCTGACATCTTCTGGCAAATTCCTTATTGATGAATCCAGGTGTCCCATGCCCACTTATGAATTAATGAAATGTTTAAAGTTTAGTTTGGTTTTAGTTTAGTTTATTGGTTTAGTTGATAGGGACCATGTACAGAACAGGTTCTATACCAGAGTTAGCTGAATAGCATCTGTGGTCCCTGGGCAGGAAGTTAAAAGGACAATAAAACACATTCTAAACATTACAGACAATATCAAAAACAAAACAACAGCATCAACAACATTACAGAGTAAACATCGTACAAAATACATAATACATTTGGTGTTCTATATACAAAGATCAGTCAAAGCATGATTGATTCTCTTTTAGCCATAGAGACTTTTTAAAACTTTTAAGACTTGCACAGTCTCTAATATGGAGTGGGATTGAATTCCATTTTCCAATTGCTTGGAAAGAGAATGCTGATTGCTCAGAAGTGGTCTTCCTAAATTTGGTGAAACAATCGCCTCTCATTGAGGCCCTGGATACCCTTACATTGTCCCTGCAGAATGACACACATTGCTAGAGTGGTGGTGGTGCAAGGTCATGAATCAATTTGTACATCAAGCACGTATCAGAAAACCGAAGAAAACTGTCAAAGGTTAACAGGTTATGTTTTTTTATAATGGTACAGTGGTGGTAATTTCTTGTTTTTTTTATCAAAAACTTTCACAGCCTGTTTGTAAAAAGTATACAAAGGTTTCAGCGTAGTCACACCTGCCTGGAACCAGCTTGTAGCACAATAGGATAGGTGTGAAAGGATCATTGAATGCATAAATAATTTAGCAGCATGTATGGGTAATTGATGTCTAATACGTAAGTCACACACATACTTATTTTTCATCTTATTGTTATTTTTCTTCCGCCAGATTTTGGTGCGTAACTTGTGCCACAGCTCAGAGCGCACACAGGTTCTTCATAAAACATGGATTCAAGATTTAATATGCACAGTAAGGTCACGTGTTTCCCTGCAGAATGAAATTTGTTCTTTTCTGTCACCAATTAATGCTAAACAATATAAATCTGAAGTATGAAATAGATCAAAATATATAGGGTGCACACTGTTGTAACATCTCCTTGCTTAGTGTAATACTCCGTCGTAATTTACATTATATACACATTATAATAAATATATGTGATATAGTCAAGATGGCACCACCCGAGTCGCAGCTGATAACAGTAGTTCTGACCCCCCTTCATGGATGGGGTCCATGTCATTGGTTCAAAAACACATCAACAAACACATAAGCATGTGTTTGTCACTTTCTTTTTCATTTTAACCGACACCATGATCTTTTCCTGACCCTAACCAAGTGTTTTTTGTGCCTAAATCTAACCAGACCTTAACCACAGGGCATCATGATGATTTCAGAACGGACTTCGGAACAATGGGTTTAATATGGTCGGAACAATGGGATGTCGAATCAATGGGCTGTCGAACCAGTGGGCACTTCCCCATGGATGCGCAGTATGTGGCTCTGAGCGAAGCAGTGGCCAATGTGGCACCTTTCCTGATCTCATAATTACAAGATCCTGATCTCGTTATGAGATAGGATGTCTAATTTTTTTTTTTATCCAGTGAATGCAATGCGCTTCCGTAGAAAATAGTTCTGGGTCACGCAAGTTGGATCAAATGAAAAATCAAAATCAAATTTCAATCGTGGCCGGTCAGTCCGGGTATCATCGGATAATTCGTAATTCATTCGTAATTCAAAAACCAAAAACGGTAAATCTGTTATTTGATTCAAAACAAAAAAACTAGAGTACCCAAGAAAAATGTTTTTGGTGTCAGAATCAAATAACGAAAATCCAATCAAACCCGGCCCATTTTTGGTTTTTGCCAATTCGTTTTACCGTTATTCCTTTTTGGACTGAATATTGAACAGGTCTGCAGACATTCAGCCAATTCATTTTTGCGTTTGAAACCAAAAATGGAAGTCGCGTGGTTTTTTTTCCTTTTTTCATTTTAAATCAAAAACGAAAAACCTGTACAGTATACCCCGGTCCGTGTATATTTTGGCAATTGGATTTTACGTTCTGAAACGGGTATTAAAAAACAAAAAACGAGTGGTTATTTGATTTTCGTTTTAAAATACAAAAATTAAAATTGAAATACAAGGCGTTTTTCCTTTTCATGATCAAAAGGGATATACGAAATTTTAAAAATGGTTCGATTATCATTTTCTATTTAGAATAACAAAAAATAAAATCAGTAAGAGACAGAAACGAAAAAAGGTCCGCTTTTTTCATTTTCTGAGACCGGATGTGGTCATCAGCAAGAGCGCCAAATATGTGTGCCAGTGTGTCCAGTCCTGTCGGATCCTAGGCTAGTGATAAACGCAAGGTAAAATGTCTTTGGAACCCTACCGTGAAGTTATTTTAGACATGGCAAAAGAGGGCCTGTCATCCGCGGAAATATCTGCACGTATTTCGCAAGAAAGTGGGGGTGGAAGAGGGTTTTCTGAAAGAAATGTGAGGAAATTTTGTGCTGACCATGGCTGCAGCTTAATGGGACTCTCCGACGCACATTTGGAGTTAGAGGTGGCAAAAGCTATAACCGAGGTATACATCTTCTCTTCACGACTTAGATGTTTCTTTCTGTGTGCGTGTGTGTGTGAGAGCGAACGTGTTTATGCATACATACACATACACACTATGTCCGCATCTCTTCAAGGATTATGCAGGATTATAATCACAAATAGTTAATAAATCACAATAAAGAGCCTCAGCCTACCATCACTTGTAAGTAATCATCAGGGGTGGAAGTAATTCATTACAAATACTCAAATTACTGTAATTAAGTCGTTTTTTGGGATACGTGTACTTTTATGAGTAGATTTTCAAGTCTGTACTTTGACCTTTACTTAAGTATTCATTTCACCATGTAATCTACTTAGTTACTTTTGAAATCATAGTTGAGTACTGAGTACAATTCCAAACCTTTTATCTTCATTTCTGTATGTGGACGAAAAACAAAACAAAACAAAAAAAAAGGATGTTAATGATTGATCTTTAATTGATTTTGTGTTAAGAATTTAGCCAGTTAAAAATGTATTCATGGATATTAAATCAATAGTCGTGGCAGTAAATGCACCTCATCTAATTTTGTTTTGTTTTTTATGAATACATTGTACTTTTACTGGAGTATTTTTCTAACACCAGTACTTTTACTTGTAATTGAGTAATATTTTAGCAATGTAATAGTACTTGTACTTGAGTACTGATTTTCAGTACTCTTTCCACCACTGGTAATCATAGTCAGCATACATGTAAACCTTACTACACTCCACAAACCACACACACAAACTGCCCTGTCTAATGTCATGATAAACATATATCAGCAGGTGTGATTTTTGAATGTGGAAATCATGTTAATTTGTTATTTTCAAGACAGGACCTACATATGGGAGAAGAATGATGAAGGGGTATCTCGCCATGAAAGGAGTGCATGCTGCAGAGACACGAATTGGATCAGTGCTCAGAACTATGCATCAGCCTTACCATGAAGCAAGGCGTCAGGCATGTTACTGTCTCAGCCTTCATATTTTACATCATCAAACTTGTGTAATTTGTGTCTAACTATGAGCTTGTGTGTGTGTGTTTTGGTGCTTGTTTAGCTGCAGTTACATAGCACAAGATTTAAAAAATTCATGTTTTTATCGTATAACCAGATCAAGTGCCCTAATTTATTTTTAATTTTCATTTTGACAGAGATAGTACAAATAGACATGGTTACATTTATAAAACTTTTAACTGATGCAGTATATGATTAATGGGATTTTTTTATACTGTGAAGTAGTTACATTTTTCTCTCTTTTAGGGTGCCCGCAATCTCAACCCTGTACCATATCATGCTGAATACATGGGACACAAGATTCATATGGACCAGAATGAAAAACTGGCCATGTTTGGAGTCACCCATGTTTTAGCCCTTGATGGCTTCAGCAAAAAGGTTGTTGCTCATTCTACTATGCCAATAAAAAACAACCTTACCATCTATGAAGATGTTTTCAGGTAATAGTCTATGTATTGCTGTGTACAGTAAAGGGATATTCTGTCATTTTTTCAGTGTAGACATGAGTGTAGTCTCTTTCTGGTTTTAAAGGCTGCTTTACAGTAAAAGGATGCATCTTTAGGAATTTATTAGACTGTGGTAGCTGTTCTATTCTCTGCCTCTACCTGCTTGATCATCATATCCACTAATGAGTCTTTATTAAAAATATCTTATGTGTAAATATCTTAGGAAAGCAACAGTAGTCAAAATATCAACATTGTGGTATTCAAAGATATTTGATATTTGATTTTTTCCCTATTGCCTAGCCCTACGTCCCACTAGTGTTTTGCACTGGTCATTTGCAGACACTTGTCTATATTCTTAAACTCTTAAACCCCTAAACCTCAGCCCCACCTATCAGTTATGCCATTCAGATGTTGGAGTGAAAAGAGAGGCTGCAAATAACAAAAAAAACAACATATTGTTAACAAATAAATTAGACTGTCCCTTTCAAGCCATTGAAATAGTTGTACATATTGCATAACTACCACATTCATGATAAACTGTGACTAAATGATACCTGCTGAACATCATTGTTATAAGTCATTTTTACTGAGAATATCTGATTTGGAATGGTGAAGTCTTAAAATGGACTTTTTCATCCAATAGGCCTGCAGTACTTGCCCATGGTATCTGGGACCAGGTGCGAGTCGATCATGGCAAGGAGTTTTATTTGACGCTCTTCATGCAGGAGCTGCTGTCACCTCATCGCTACAATCAGGAGAGAAGGCCTTATTTACAGACTTCATCCACAAAGGTACATTTTTATAGTTTGTGTGGTTGCTTCAGCAACACACTACTTGTTGTATGCCTGCCTTTATTATCATTACTATTATGGTGACTTCAGCAGGTATTCTTGCATACATTTTATTATTACTATGCCTTCCAAATTTTAGAGTTAACATGATATTAAACACATTACCTTTTGCCAAGAAGGGGTTTATTTTTTTTTAATCTGGTTATTTATTTTACTTAAAACAACTGCAGAAGCAACCACACTGTAGTTATTCGAATTTTATATTCTAGTTATGTGATGAGCATTGTTTTTTTTATCAAACTTTGGGAAAATTTAAAAACAGTAAATTTACTAGCTCATCCATAATACCCAGATAGATGGTCAGCATGCAGATTTCCTGGTAAATGTGCATATTGACTGCTGAGTCAGTAAATTTACAGATTCAGGACAGGAATTCTGCAAATGACCATTTTTCCTGAATGGACCATAACACATTTTTCATTAACACACCAGAACAAATTGAATGATATCTAATCTTTCTTGCAAATTCAGAATCATATAGTTGAACGAATCTGGCCTGAAGTCAACAACCGTGTCAACTATCCACTGAAGACAGCCTTACTGCAGTTGGAGGATCAAGAGGAACTAGACATGAACGATGGCCTTGTGAGATACTGTGTATCCAACCTGACTGTTCAGTTGTGCCAGATTGGTCTCACAAGACTGGTGGACTCATGGAATTCTCACCGCATTCCAGGTGAAATAAACCAGTGTTGCGAAGATTAGAATAATTACAGCAAGCACTTTGAAGTTTCAAGAACTGAACTGATTTCTTTATTTTACAGGTAAAGGTGTACCAAACAACTTGGCTGGCAGTGGCTGTCCCAAAAAAATCCCACAGGAGCTGCTGCCTCATTCAGTTGAAGCAGCAGACCTTTACAGCCAACAGCTTGGATCCTCATTGACAACACATTCTACTTTTGGAATTGATCCATTTTCAACTGAACAGGACAAACTAACAGTTGAGAATCAGTTTGCAGAGAAATATTCAGACATTTCAGTCTTGTTCTCGAGAGCAGTGAACGAGGACTTCGCCCCATACAAAGAAGCAGTGCTCTATCTCATAACAACAACTCAGCGCAATGTGTGAAAAGACATTTGCTGTATTTGAACTTAGTAGACCTTTACAGCTGGGATCCTCACTGACAACACATTCTACTTTTGGAGTTGATCTATTTTCAACAGAACAGGACAAACTTGAGAGTTGAAAATCAGTTTGCAGAGAAATATTCAGACATTTCAGAATTCTCTAGAGCAGTGGACAACAACATGGCTCCATACAAAGAGGCACTGCTCTCTCATAACCACAACTTTAAAGAATGTAAATTAGTAACTATAACAATTAACTGGTGGCAATGGATGTTTGGTAAAGATAAATGTTAATCTCACTAAAACAGTGAACAGTAATATGATGTCATCCAGCCCAAACATGTAAATGAATTCACATTACTAGTACAAGAACTCTGACCCAAATACAACAGAACACAACATGCCTACAGTATTTGAGTATGAAAGTGCAAAATGTTACTCCTCTTCAAAAAGGGATCTCAGAACAGAAAATGCCTCTGACAGACCATTAACTTCAAATATGTTGCTGCCTTCGGTGTTCCCTCTACATTTTGCACAATGCACAGAGGTCAACTGCCACTGTTCCACACATGTTTTGCAGCCAATAATGCTTCGGCAACACTCTGTGAAGACTGGCTCATCGATGAACTCTGAAACATAAAAAGAGAAAAACTAGTCCTTCTCTGTGTCCCCATCTGTCCTTAATGTGTTTTTAATGTACTGGATGACTGTGTTTTCTTCTTCTTTTTTACTGAACTTAAATGCTTCAGGGTTCCCACACATTTTTACCAACTCATTTTCAAAACTTTTCCATAATATTTTACCTCATTTACAAGACTTTATCTACATACGGTAGTTTTAAATAAGTAGGCTCACATAGTGATCAAAGGGTGCAATAATGAGGCTTTTAGTGGAGGAGAGGAGGATGAGGAAGAGAAAAGGAGATGAGAAGAGGAGGAGAAACAATAGCCATAAACAGTGTATATTCGAAATTTTTCCTGTTAATTTCAAACCATTTCCAGGTCTGGAAAACAGTGTTTCTAATTTAAAAACCTTTCCAGGAATTTCAAGACTGTGGGAACCCTGACTTTTAAAAGATTCTTTGTTATTGTATTATTACACAATGGGCTGTTACACAAAGGACTGCATCAATACATGTAATAACTGTAGTGGATGAGACACCTTGGTTAGTGAATACAAAAATGTGTATTTGGAAATATTAAATTCTGGCACACACCAAATAAAATGGCTCCAAAATTATTTTAAATGTGGGGCAATACTATCTTTTGCATACTTACTCATACAAACAACACAGCAGAACCCTTGCTTGATGGCCTGTAGCTGGGACGGAGTCAGGATGACTTTTTGAGTGGTAGCCAGACTGGTGAGCTCTCTGATTGCTGCAGTGACATCTGGTAGGCTCTGTGCTGCCAGTACAAGCTCTTCTACTTTCTCAGTGACATCTCCAATGCCTGCAGCATCTTCATCTTTTCGGCTGTTAAAAGGAAAAAAACATAGTAGATGTGTACTGGTTGTGATTTAGTGGTTTTGGTAGTGGTGGTGGGGTGGAAGCCTGACCTTTCTGGGAGGAGGATGAGGATGGGGAGAGGAAGCAGAGGAGGAAAAACAATAGCCAAAAACAGTGTATATTTGAAACTTTTCCAAAGCATCCTGTTAATTCTAAATCATTTCCAGGTCTGGAAAACTCTTTTTTATCATTTCATAACTTTTCCAAGAATTTCATGACCATGGGAACCCTGCATAATAGATTTCATTGTTTGGACAAATAAGAGTACTATGAATGCTTAATATTACCTTGTTCTCCTCCTTTTTTTGTCCTGCAACTCCTGGAAGTCCTGTTCTCGTACAGCAAGAATCTTTCGTGCATTTTGTTTCCAGTACTGTGACCCTTTGGAGTCGGGGTGGAAACCAGGAAAAACCATTACAACTTAAGTGGTTGGTCCAGACATGAGGAATCATGTGCCATCTAATATTCAATCACTAAAGTTAATACTTAAAAAATTAAATAAAATCAAATGTACCCACCTGTTGTTCCTTCTGACTCCAAAATTGCATTCCCTTGCGCATCAGTCAACACCACAGGGTCATGATTTCCAATGGCATCTTGTACTTTTCCGATGATCCCCTGCAGGGTAGCCTCACATTCCAAAAACCGGACCACCACCGTTCTGCTGGGACTCAACCTCCCACCAACCACCTCAGCGAGGTACACTGATCTGTGAAAATTTATGAAAATAATTGCTGACACACAGAGCATTCATAATCCTGGCAATGGCTAATGATGATGTATACCAACAATAACTAGAAAATGCGGCAATGATTTTGTTGTGTTTTAAGATGTATGGAAAATACAGTACTTTGAAAAATAGTTTGTGTCTGACATTGTTTTTCCACAAAAAGAGTCAAATATATTTTATTACAATCCTTAAAATTACGTCTGTTCCTTCTACCTTATTACAAATTCCACAATCTATAAATGTACCAATATTTTTTGTCTCGAAAGTTTAACTGTTGGACACAAGATGTCTTCAAGCTTCAGGTTTCCACATCACACTCGTGTAAGCTCAACAGACTTGGCTTCCAAACTACTTGTGATTTCACAAATCATGCTCTTAGGCCCCCCTTAAACTTGGATTTTCAATAAGCACAGAGAAACATTCCACTTTCAGCAGACTAATGTGAAAACAGCCTTCTGGTGACAAACTGTATATACACATCATTCTGCACAGTGAAGCTCAAACATCCAACTGTTGGAAGAGGAGGAAAAACATTTGAGTGGAGGGGGACGTTTATATTAGGGATACACAATAAATACCTGTTCTGATAAATTATCAGCTAATATTGGCTTATCCAGCAATATCGGTCCATATCGGTCCATGTATTGGCTATACTAATAAATGATTTGACAGATTCTCACAGCATTTAATTTGAATTTGTAGACAAAATGCTCTATAAAAGTTGTACATTTGTGAAGTTTTTTGATGAACTTTACTAGAAAAACTAAGTGAAAATTTTAAGAGTTAGAACTGTTTGTTTTTGTTGCAACAATGATGTCAGATCTTTTTCAGTCATGGCTGTGAAATATTAAATCATCTATTTTCGCACACAAAATCTGAACCTTTCTGGCCCGCAGTTGTGCAGAAACTACAGGTAATATGTGCTTCTTTTAAAAAATACAAATCTGAATTTATCAGTTGTCTATATCAGCTATGAGAAGCAGGTCATTATCGATTATCAGTATCAGCTGAAAAACAAAATCCAGATTGTGCATCCCTAGTTTATATTCCTTCTTCTATCTTTAGGCTGATAAACATGAAAATTTAATAATTTCTTCCTTGGCTCAGGACAAATCTACACACAAGGTTTCATACAAATCCACAAAGAACTTTTTGAGTTATTTTGCTGACAGATCGAGACATAGCAAAAACAGAAGTAGTGGAGGTAATTAAAGTTCTGTCAAAAATTTTAAAATGTGCAAAATACATGTAAATTAATGTAAATGGGTGAAATGCAAGTAGTATGAACTATTAATATACAACAACAACTAACTGCAAGGAAGGAGACAAAGAATGGCTGATATGATCATATCAAGCATTAACTAGGTGTTTTCGCAATAAAATCTAACTGTATTTTATTTCCCTTCCAGTAATTTGTAAATTTGAAGTTATAAATTGTATCACTATCATTTAACAATGATTTAAGTTGAAGTTACCTGTGAAAGGTTTTAGAGACAGTGGCTCGAGGGGGGGCTGAGGCAGTCCGCTGTGGAGTTGAACTTGTAGTGGTTGCAGGCGTGCGCATAAATGAAAAACGTTGCCCTGTGCTATTTGCAGGTCCTGAGGTGTCCTCAGCCTCACCATGAACCTCATAATGAGTCCTTGGATTGAGGTCCAATGAGCTGAAAACACCAGATGCCCCAGGAAACAATGCCACGTTTGCGTCGTCAGTCATGTACAGACTACGAGATGAGACCTGTCAAGAAATTCATAAGTCAAATTAGAATAAATACATTTTCATTTCCGATCCTTTCTCAATGAACATTTTTCAGTGACTACCGGGGTATCTTTTCCAAACACCAGCTTTCTACATGATGATATTATTGTATGTTATAGGGGGAGGATGAAATGACAATGAATCACGGAATTAAATTGTCTCTAATTAATTTATAATCCACAAGGTTATGTGAGGTGGTGGGAGAGCGTCATACACTTCATGGCTCCGGTCAGAGAAGAGCGTTTTCAGTGACATTTTAGATCTTTACTACATATCTGTGACTTGCTACCGATAGCAGCATTAACTAAGAACATTTAAGAATCGAGAGGGAGATCAGCTCCTCTCTGTGTGACTGTGTGAACACAACTGTTGCAGTCACCACGTCAACTGTCTGTTCAATACACAGGGTAAGCTAGCTGAGTTAGCCAGTTAGCTGAGTTAGGCAGTTAGCTTATTACTATCATATTATCGTTAGCCTCAGAGAGCGACACCCTGCTTTAAAGCTAGTTGCTGGCTATACCTTGATAAATGTTACTTTATGTATTCTTTTTTTTTACCTGAAATATGCGACTGAGTTTATCAGCACTCATGTCTTCTTCCCTGAGACACACTCGCTTGTTGTTGCGAAACACGACGTACTGATCCATATCAGTCGGGTTTAAACAGCCGCAGCACCGTACTCTGTTTGGCTCCACACCTGCTGATGACCACATCCGGTCTCAGAAAATGAAAAAAACGGACCTTTTTTCGTTTCTGTCTCTTACTGATTTTATTTTTTGTTATTCTAAATAGAAAATTAAAATCAAACCATTTTTAAAATTTCGTATATCCCTTTTGGTCATGAAAAGAAAAAACGCCTTGTATTTCAATTTTAATTTTTGTATTTTAAATCGAAAATCAAATAACCACTCGTTTTTTGTTTTTTAATATCCGTTTCAGAACGGAAAATCCAATTGCCAAAATATACACGGACCAGTATACTAACTATCATTCGTTCATTCCATTTTCAATTAAAAATCAAAAAAGGGTTTGGTTTGTTTTTCTTATTTTTGATTTTATGCTCACATCAAAAATAGCAAATCGAAAAATGGGTCATGATTAAAATTTGATTTTGATTTTTTATTTGATCCAACTTGCGTGACCTGGAAGTTATTGACTTCTTTGTGTATTGCTTTCTCGGTTTCCTCTTAGAAAAACTATGTCTGCACTGGAGACCTAGGGGGAGTTAATTGTAGAGCTGTTTGAAAGTGGAAGCACTTATATGGAGATTTCTGCCACACTGCGACAGCTGGGTATGTTCTGAGATGAGTGTGAGGCGATTTTGTAGCAAACACGGCCTAAAATGTAAAAGGCATGTATCAGACGCGGAACTGGCTATGGCTGTGGTTGGATCGATATTTGAGGTGAGATTTTATTTAGAGTGTGTCGTGTGGGAAAACTCCTCAAAGAGATTCATCGACCATACCATGAACTCCGATGTCAGGTACATTAAGAACCATATTAAAATAATCGTTACGCATCTGGTGTGTGACGGCCTTTACACGTCATGTCATAAGTTTATATTATTTGCGTGTCTTTTGTTTAACAACACTTGGTCCTGAGGGACACAGATAATTAGCTTGTCAGCTATTGTTGTTGTTGTTGTTATGGGAGATGGACGT